TTGGACGATTTTGGAGGACTGGGATTGGGGATCAATATAGCGCAAGTTAGATCTCCTTGAGTTCAACATCGATTCCCATCAAATGATGAAAATCTCTTTTGATTCCAGATCGGATTATGATAGAAAAAACGATGGAGCTTTTTAATATGCAAAAGCTTGAGCCCTTTAACGCAAAAATAAGATTCTATTTTTGTCTCACTAGAATAACAAATTTTAAGGGAAAAGACAAAATAACTGGTCAATCCTCTATAGAAAAGCTAAACACGACTAATATTTTATCTAAAGGCAAATCCTTCCGACTTGCGTTGATTTTCTTTCTTGTCATTATTTCCTGCTATCAATCTGATAGGAAAACTGACCAAGAAAAGAAAAATAAAGAATTGAAGGAATTGAGGGTTTTCGATCTGCTACTAAACGTTTTGAATGCAAAATTGAGCCTTTCGCTTCTCCTTGAAAGTCTCGAAAGTGTGTAGTACTTAGTTCATTTCCATGTCTTGTTTGTAATAGGTGATTTGTTCGGATGGATATCTGCAGAATACACTTGAGGCGAAACGCATCGTGTGGGAACAAAGCAAACGGCAAGCAGTCCCAAATAGAGCCATTATGCGATGTTCGGCTTCAGGTCTGGTGCATTACAACGACATTGAAAAGGTAGAGAGATTTTTTGCTTTGCTGTCTATTCGTGTGGCCATACTGAAATACAAATGAAGGTCTGTGTCTGATGATGGACAACGTCTTTTATTCCGGCGTTTTACCTTTTTAATCTTAGACACCAGACCGCGAAACGTGCTCGATACGAAAGTTCGTTGTTTTTTCTCTTAACTTGCTTAGGTAAAAATGACAGCCATCTGGATGTGTCAGACGACCTATTTCGATCCTAGATGTATTCCTTCGTGCGTATCAGTCTGTCTCGCTCTTGCGTATCTGTTGCAATCACCAGTCGCCGATGGCATCGAATCGCTCATCGATTGTGTTCGACACGAGACTCTAGACACACTTGGCAATAACCTCCTTCCCAATTACCAAGAGGAATTTTTGTGGCACACGAGTCGAGAGCGTCCCTTAGATGATCTTCGTCTCGACGATCAACAAACCATTGGTTATACCTACAAATGTATGGCATCAGGTTTCTACGGATCACATGATCAAACTAGACAATGTTTCTTAAAATAGTCTCTTTTTTCAAGATTTGTTTTACTCTTTTCGAAATAAAAAATTCCTGTGTTGCAATGGTATGAATTATGAAAGACTGGAACATATCGAAATTGAAGCCTTTCTGCTGAGTGCTATGGGACACTCACCGGTTATTATTTGAGTGTGACTCGTTTGCGATACGACATTTAACTCACATGATAATTTTTCGCTAGCGAAACAATTGGCTTTGATTAAGCTGGAAATGATGGTCCAAGCAAGTCGATGACAGTGTTTTGGCTTCTTTGACACGTATTACTTCGACGAAAAGAAATTAGATGCGTCATTGAAAAAATGTAGCGATGTGTAAGCACATCATCAGACGAATTAGCATCGCTATTGAGTCTGTTGTTCGATCTAAACGACAGCGTACTTGAACTGAATAGTCATTCTAGTTGCCACTGCCTACTCGCTTTCTTATTAACAATCATTTTGCTTGTAAAAAATAGTATTTATCGTATATAATTACGATTTTAAGCCCCTACAAAATTTCGTACTCCATGAGATTTCATCTCGCGATATTATAAGCAAAGCTTATAGTATATGCATATGTTTTTGCTGGAGATTTTCGATTTAGGTAGTATTGCAGAGATTTTTTTCAGTTTCTCCGGAGAACCTTGTGTATGTCAGACGTTCTTTAGGCTCCGCTGGCTACAGATAGAGTTTGACCGTATTCCAGTTCGCCGAAAGTGGGACTAAGGATATTATCAGATTATAGTAGACCCTCACCCTCAAAGACCGATGTTTCTTTGATTTCCTAGAGATTAAAATTCATTCCGTTGTTTTATGCAAGGGTCTCATGTTGACTGAGTAGCATACTCTGCAAATAATGATCAGGATGCTTGTCATTGATTAAGTCTCCTCCTGACCTCTATAGTCCACTTCTATAAAGCAATTTAAAAGTGTGAAGAAGAGCCACTAACGCCATGCCCAGGTAAATTCCTCTTAGTTTCAATCTTGATAGTGATCCACATTCCTTCAGTCTGGGGTCAGATGAATCGACATCCGATGAACACTACTTGTGATGGGAGGGCGTTCTGAATAAAACCCGAGAAGAGAACAGCAGGTTTCAAGACCTACGAGGTCTCATGAAGTCTTTTGTATTGCATATAATGACGAAAAACACTTTCAACAAGAGCTTACTCGAAGCGCGTTATTATCAATTGTCGCGGTGCATAAACCAAAACTAATTAATTCTAAGACATCAAGAAAATTCCGCGCCAGTCGAGGAAGTTTATTAAGTCTTTCGAAGTCCATGAAGTCTTGAAGTGTGTTGTTTCCCCTTGATAAAATTATTGATAGGTATACCATGATGAAAGACGATTATGTCACAGAATACTTGAATTCTGCATGTGATGAATTTTGACACTGCTGAGTATTGTCGGTTGGGTAACGAAGAGGAGAAACATTCACAAGCCAGATTTGCGTCAACAGGAGTTAGTGACTGGGGGAAAATAAGACTCAACAACAAAAGCTAAAAAATGAAATATTGGGTTGTTTTCTTGATATGAACTATTACTATTAACTGCCTTCATGTAGACCAGAAGCCAAGATGGTCCTCTAAGTTCTAACATAGCTCACAGATAAGCATGCAATACTGAAGAAACCAAGCAACTTTAAAAATATCTACTATATGCCATCTTGTACAGAAATGTTTGCTCTACAAAACTGCGGATTTCAGAAAATTTCACAGTTCGTTGTTCCGAAAATACAAACCATTTTTTGAAAAACATGAAAAAGAACTGTTGCATGGCTAATTCTGATTAATCTGGGAAAATCTCACTTTTAATTTTTTGCTAAATGTTGGCCTGGATGCCCACTGTGTCAAAAGTGTCTTGTTTACTAAGCAAAAAAACACTATTTCTCTCTTTTCTTGAATTCATCAACTAGAGTTCGTCGAATGTGTCGCTAAACTGTTCAGACACATTTTGGATTATATTCCTATCTCATAGTTTTGAAGAAGATTTCAAAGTATCAAACAAACACGATAGTCAAATCGAATAATATGATTGTCTTTTTGTTAAAAAAAAAATTCGTTTGTTTTTAAGTGTTATCTTTGTATAATTTGCCTGATTACTCCGTGCTTACTTTATAAATATCAAATTACTTATCATCATTTCAAACAAAAAGAGTATTAGTTTTTAATTGACATTGTTATTTAAATTACTTACTGTATGATGAATATATTCCTCAACCTTGATTTGAATGTATATCATGGTAATGACTATCAATATTGACTTTCTAAAATTCAATTTTTGTGTGTTAACCCTCCGAATAATTAACACAAACATTGAAATATTGCTCAACTACATCATGTTTAAGTGAAAATAGCTGCATAGTTTGACTAATATTTCTTTTAATAGTTTTATTAAAAACTCAATTGGATTTTTTCAAACAAAACAAAAAATACTAGTTTGAACTAAATTCACTAAATCTATATTCTCGATCAGCAGCTATTTCTAAATAAAAATTTTATCGCAGATCATATTATTCTGTAGTTCATCTGGAAATGATTTTGTCTTGAATAAATTTTCTCATGAGTATACTACCATCACAGCACCATTATATAAATTTCAAAAAATCTCTTGATATATATATATATATGTATGTCATGCACACATACACACACACACACATATACCTCTCATTTTCGGATTCTTTGTATTTCTTCTCGTGCAACACTGATTCATCATAATTAAAATAGTTGAACATACACACAAAAAGAAAAATCACATTTTATTAGTAAACTATATCTCTACTAATTATTGTATTATTCTACGCATAGACTTTTAACTATAATGTTTTTTGATGTTTATAAATTAGATGATCACGCGAGATATGTGCACTCATTAGACTAAATATTTAACGAAAACACATGTTCATACCCAACAAATTATAAGATCAAGATCACTCATTTGATTTAAGCAAAATTTACCGTTAGGCAGGCATATTCTCAAATCCAAAATTCATACAAAAATTACTTCCAGTTTGAGTTTAGTGTACAGGTTTCCTACTTGATCCGACCCACAGATGGATTGAGATTTAGATTTAGATTTGGAGTAAACATTTCACCCTAGGTAATTATTTTTTTTAGCTTTATTTTATTGATAATGAGGTGACACGGACTTTTCTCAAGTAGCGATTTTCACACACTTGTTGAGAGTGATCCGTTAAAACATGTTTACATATGCTTCTCTACGGTGAAGACCTATAAACCGACCCAATGTTAGAGTCAAGTTGGATTTGACTTAAACTTTGTTTGATCCAATAAGGTTCGGACTCAATTATCTTAATACAGTTTTCTACTGTAAGCTTATGTCAACTTATCGTGCCTTATATACAATTATTTAAAGGAGGTCAAGACGACGGCATTTTTTCAAATCTGATCACAAAATTTATATAGTCTAAAAGTTCATAACGACATACATGCCAGTGGAGAACAGAAAACAAAAGCAGAACAACAACATCAATGGTATTTTTGGATCCACCACGTCAAGCTCAAAAACTCGATAAGCTAATTGGATTATCTTGGTACTTGAAAATTATTGAAAAGACGAAGCGTTGATGTTCGCATCCGTTCTTCCACTTTGATTGTTATGTTTCTCGTTTTAACCGTACAGTATTTCAAAATTCTAATACGTGTTTCCTGGATTGCTATAAAGATATTTCTGCATAAAATCCTAGAACAAATCTTCCAGTTAGCCTAAGTTGGTCATTTTATCTTGTCAAATTTTATTTTTTTTTTATAAAAAGATTACAAAAAAAATCCAAAAATTTTATCTAATACATATAATAGAATATTTTGTTTTCTATACATAACGACTGGCGGATGTGAATGCTGATTTATCTACATCGTCTAAATGTGATGATGGTCGATTTTTATTTTCTGCTGTTAAAAGATATAGTTGTTCAAAACGCTTAAAGCTATCTTGATATTGATTTGTGTTAGATGTAATTGATGATGGTGGTTGATCGTCATATACAGAAAGTCTTATACAAGGCTTTGAGGGTATTGAAGGTCTATTCACACGATTAGAAGAAAGTTTATGACCATCATTTTGATCGGATATATCTGAACTACCATAACATCCTTCATCAGATAATGAATCATTTACTATTGTTGTTGAAGGAATGGGTTGTTGGATGGCAACATTTGTTTCACCATTTCCAATACTATTCTGGTTTAAATGAGTTAAATAACGTTCAACCTAAAAAAAGTATAGTAAGCAAATATTTTTATACTCAATTATTTTCAAAAATAATTAAACTTACTTTTTCTAAGTAATTAGAATCGGACCATTGTCTAATATCAGCTTGTTTAACCGAATATTGATAGATACGATTCGATAAACTCTAAAACATAAATGGAATAATAAAGAACGGACAACATATGAACATTTTTATCAAACTGTTCAATATACATATCTATATACCGTTTCTCTCATTAAACTTAACTAAAGATAAAACACATTCACACACAAACTACAATTTAAATATTATTTTTTATTTTCTTCATTTCAACATTGATTATTTTTCTTCTTTCATTTGTAGAGTTAATTTAAAAAGATCAAAACGAATAACAATAGCTAATATTTAAATGCTCACCGATCATATACTCAGAGATTTATCGTGAAAGTATCATTACAAATCTAGTGGTAAGAACGAAGAAGAAGTACTGTCTCGAACTCTACATCGAAGACTTTTTTAATTATTTCAATAGCATCACCACTACTCCAACTAGTTTAAATGTAAAGTTTCTATTTCATTTTTTCTTGCATATGTCTCGATTAACAGTAGTCATCCAAATACAGAAAGTAATTTATTAACATTTCTTTTTTTTATTGTTTTCTGAGCAGTTATAGGCTATGAATATCTAAACTTTCATTTGTAAAAGATAATTAAGTTCAAAAATACAATGAATGATCGAAATTGAGCATATGTTCGATTAAATGAGCCGTACATAGAATACATAATTCGATGATAACAGTAAAACAACCCTGTTCTCTATTCTCTGTGTGGCCGACGATTAAAATCCACGATGTATAGCCTTTCATATATATTATGAACAATATAGAAAGTGTTATCGAAAGGAAAAAAATCAAGTATTTAATCCTTCACATTATTATCGCTTTGTATTTACTCAACCGATAAAAGGAAGCGACAAATGAGACATCACTCTTTGTCTCGAAGAAAAAGTAAACTTCAACATTTTTATTAGAGACAATAATGATCACAATTTGGTGTACACGCTTCTGCGAAAAAAATATTGCATCGTCAATTGTTGTCTGACAACCTGTAGTTTATATGTAACTGAAACTGTTGTTTTTGACAATAGAAAAAGAGAGACAAAAAAAATCGCAACGGACATTATTTTATAATTAGTCACTCTCATCTATTCTACAAAACAATAGTTCTATTTCTGAAATTCAATACAGAACTCATATAATGTTCTTCTACGATGGAATAACAATAAGAATAACATTAAAAATTAAATAGTGATCCTACATGAGACTTTTATTACGAATAGGTAGACGGCTAAAAATTCCCGTCTCCTTCATCAATGAAATTCATGAACCACGTTGTATGATTAAGAGCGAGCTATATATTTTCTACGATAATGAAATATAATGAGATCGTTTATATCTCCTAGCAGTTACACGTGCATCTGATTACACCCAATTTTTATACGATGATCTCTTGCGTGTGAAACTTAGATTTTTTAGTGTAATACAGTCATATCAGTACATGTCAATTTCTATTCTCTCTGTCTGTCTCTTTCTCTCTTCTTTTTTGAATTGTCAAAATTAATTTATTAAATTTTTGTCGATGACGAGATTTGTTCTAATAGCTTATTTAAATCTCCTCTTTTTCACTTTGAAGATTTGTCGTTATTAATGATCATGATCTCTCGTTTGAAAAACGAACTGCATATATATAAAAAGCTACCAAATGTGATGCAATCATATATGTACACAGCACTAACTGTACAAATAGGATTATATTTTCAAAACTGAAAAATAATCATTATTCATACTCCTTTCATCAATCATACACACACACACACACATTGCCTGTTTGTATTGGCGACATTAGACATTTTTTTCTCTCTTTCTCTCAGACAAAAAGTGTCAACATACATTGGTATACTATGATGTAATTAATAGTCATAAATCAGGAAATATGAACAATTTAAGTTAGAATGTAATCAATTGGAATGAATTTCTTTGACACTTATACCTAATTAATGTACTAACTTAAGCATTGTACGAATTCGATGGTCTCTTTTATGCGAACGTACAATTCGTTGTTATATTTTTATTTTTAAGGAATAAACTAAGTTGAACAACTACTTTTTGCACTTAATGATTTTTAATCAACCTTGATAACTGACAAGTTGAACATATGCTTGACGAAGTAAAAAGAAAGAGAATAGAGAGGTAATCTTCCATATCTAAATGAGACCTGAAGGGTTACTAAATTGTAAACGATACACGTCTTGACAATATCATTGTTAAATGAGTGTCACCCGTATAACAACAAAATTTTTATATTCTAATCAGACAATAAAATAAAATATTTTTTTGTTACATACCGCTTCATCTAAAATTTCGATCATAGTTTTTTGTGATGAACGTGCTTCATTTTCACTCGTATTACTCGTACTACTTTGAGTATCTTTATTTTCATTTGATGTTTTAAATGATGATGTTGAATAACAACAATTAAAACATGTTGATTTATTTGACGCCATCATTGTTGTTTTATTTTGATGTTTTTGACGTTTAATACGAAAAATAAATGCGCATAAAAAACAGCATGCAATTAAAATTGCTGCACATAATACAATGGCCAAGAATGATACAACCAAAACGAGTCCCGTTCGTTCAATCGCTAATCTTTTACCATTTAATAATAAATGTTGACTATCATTTTGAGAATAGATGCGTATGGGTACTTGAATCGATGTTGTCAATTGTTTATCTTTACCACTATCAGTTACTGAAATATTAACATTATAAAAGCCAGTAGTTATTGGCATTGTTCGTAAAATAAATGTTCCATTATTATTTAAGAATAAATTTTGATCAATATCATTCGGTATAGATTCAAATGTATAGGAAAATATTTGTGGTTGAAAACGATCCAAATCTCGAACAACGAATTGTGTAATGACAAAGGGTAAAATAGTTGATTCATAAGATATATAGATAGAGTCATTGAATGGTAGTGATGGTGAAATAATTTCTGGTGCATTATCGTTGCAACTATAAAAACATTAAAAGAGATGAAAATTTTTTTTATAGAAATTGAGAAATAAATGATTATTTACTCTTGAATTAAAATTGTTAGAGATTGTGATACACTTAGAACAGGATCACCATGATCAGAACATGTAAGTGTAATATCTATTTGTTGCTGTTGTTCATAATCCAATGGTTCAAAGATTTGTAATGAATAAGCATTGATTGTCAAAAGATTCAAAATGAAATGAGAATTATTAATAATACATGTAACACGACCATTTTCACCAGAATCAGGATCTGACACATAAGCATAGGCCACAGCAGTACCTAACCAGAATAATATAAATTTTAAATTGTATGATAAATAATTTTTTCACTTCATTATTCATTACCTTTTGGTGTACATTCAGAAAATGTTAATGAATTAATGATTTTTGTTCCGTCAATTTTTGTCATTAATATTTGTGGTTGATTATCATTAATATCAGTTACGTTAATGTTTACAGTTGCATAATCAGTTAACGGTGGTACTCCATGATCTTTGGCTAAATAAAATTAGAAATTATTCAATTTATTTGTAAAAGAGAATAATTTATCAATTATCTACCATAAACTGTCAATGTATATGATCGTTGTTGTTCATAATCAAGTGATGATTTTAAAAATATTTCACCCGTTTGTTCATTAATTTTAAATATTTTATCTCCATTATCACCACCATCTAATGTATATGTTATTCTTCCATTTTCATCTATATCTTTATCAGTGGCATGTACTTGTAATAATAAATTTTCGACTGTTTCATTTTCTTGAACTGTTCGATTATACAAATGATAATCAAATATTGGTGCATTATCATTGACACTAGAACAATAATTATTAATAAATAAGTTAATAAAACATTCGTTATACTTACTCTGTAACTTGAATTAATAATTTTTGTTCACTAGATAATGGTGGTTGACCACCATCAAAAGCATACAAATGTAATGTATATGAAGCAATTGTTTCACGATCCAATGGTTCAATTAATTTTAAAATTGGTTTATTTGTCAAACTTGATTTAATAAGACGAAATGGACTTGTTGATGGATGTAATTCGTATGTTTGAACAGATAAAAGACCATAATCTTCATCAACAGCGGGTTCTAACGATATTTCATAACCAATGGGAACATTTTCAGATACATTTAATGTCAAAGATGATTGTTTAAATGTTGGAATATGATCATTAATATCTACAAAAATTAAAAGTAGAAAATAATAGAGTTATGTTTAAAAATTATTAAAATTATATTTTTTAATTATTACCTTCCACAAGAATATTGACAGTAATTATTGAAATATTATTTGGCGTAATTGTTTGAACAAATTTTAATGGTAATAAACATTTTGAACAATCACATAATTTTTTATAACATAATTCTTCACGATCAATTCGATCCGATGTATATAACGATGTATTTTCCAAACGAAAATATCGTTGATAAACAAATGAAACTGGTAACCATTGTAAATTTGAATTAATTTTTGTTATAAATACATTTGATTTCATTTCTTCATGAATATAAATTATATTATCAGTTGATGATTGAAAAGAAGATGGTAAAATTAAGAAAATAATTAATAATAAAATCGATATTAAATGCATAATTTTAAATATTTTCTTCGATCTAAAAAAACAATCAAATGAAACAATTGATCTCCTATTTTTCTGTTTAAATAACAGATGTATAGAGCGGTACTTTTTCTCTCTACTTTACCGGTCATTATTCTTTAAAAATAAAATTGCTCAATTGAAGTGGGTATATGTTTTTTTGTCTTTTTATTTTTAAAGTAGATATAATTATAAAGTATCACGAGGGATAATTTTTATTGACTTCCTCTCAAAATAAATGACAAGAGAAAGAGAGAACACGTGTTCTCGTTTTCTATAATTATAAAATGTAAAGATCTCTGTATATTTGTTAATTATGATGTCGTTTGTCATTTTAGTTTTTATTCATAGTCTTTTCTTTGTTGGATCAATCTACGTTTCTATATAAAGTGAAAAATATCTGACATGATGAAGTATCAGAAAAATTTTAGATTTTTCCAACAAAATAAAAAACAACAACAACATTTATATTTAAAATAAGAATTTGTGTTCGAATACTGACAATTTAACATAAAGAATTGTTATTTCCGTTATTTATTTATTTATTTTTTTCTTTAAATATACTCTCTATTACTCTAATTCAATCAATTGTTACAGATATTTTGTCAAAAAAATAATACTATTCTCGATGTATGTGTATATAAATGAAAAAACTGTACATACCTATACTGTTAATGGAAATGAATGAACATTAAATTTTTATTCAATGATTTATATCTATATAATAAAATATCAACAATCAATACTAATGTATATTTTAGAGAAAGAGAGAGAGAGAAAGAGAGAGAAAAAGAGAAAGGAAAACATAAGGACATATAATACCGATGTAAACAGTTCTATTGAATTGAACGCGCGTATGTTTAGAGGTTGAAAATCCCATTATTGTTAAACAGAAATTAGCACTTTTATTTTTATTTTTTTCATTGCACATATCTGCAATATAGAAATAGAGAGAGTGACATATTTTTTATGTGTATGTTATAAGCAAATACCTCTATGATAAATATCTTATTGATAAAATTTGTCGATAAAGCAATATAACATCGATTTTTTTTTGTTTTTTTATTAGAATTTTAGACAATGAACAACTTTCTCTCTCTCTCTCTCTCTTTCTATGTGTATATATCTCTATCTATTCTTATTTTACAACTCTTGACATCTGAACACATAACAACATAATATACTATGGATGAACACTTTTAAACATTAGAGAAAGAGAGACTAGTCATAAAACATAATTTTTTAATTCATTTTTCAAGTATATGTATTCCATTCTATCATTCTAAACTAGAACACTTGTATTTTGAACTTCTATATAATAAGTCTCTTGAATAACTTAAAGCGATATATTTGTGCCTAAAGGCTTCATTTTCAATTATGGCTTCTGATCCTATACTTGAGAAACAGTTATCATCCGATTAGTGTATGATCTATGTAGCTGATACATAATGACTGATGATAATAAAAATGTATATAGAGAGAGATATTATGGATCGGAGTATTATAGATTAGAGGTTAAAAAATTTTCAATTAAATAACAGTATTTAACTCGAAGCAAACATGATTTAACTTTAACTTTCATTTCTTTAAAGAAGAAGAAGAGAAAAAAAAGAAAAAGATACAAGTTTAAATATGAACTTGTTTAATATAGAAGAGAAAAAGTGTCAAATCATCTGCTAAAGTAGAAGAGCTTTCCCGCAGTCCACTTTACAATTTATAATGACTAAGTTGACTGACTGTTTAAATTATAGTTATGCGAAAATTAGATGATAGGTGTGGTGTGATCCTGTTAAACTTATAAGTGGATTTAAACCTTTTTTTTTTTATCGTATACAGGATGAGATCGTCATGGATATTCTATTTATGACAAGAAAAAAAAAATAAAATATTTTGTATATGTGTGAAAATGATGGGATGTTCACATTTCCCGTTTTAAATCAATGTTGAAGATGAAAAAGAACAAACGAAAAAAAAAAATGAAATGAAACTCACGTAAAACAAAATAAGTAACAAAAAAAAACGAAAAGTAACATATAAACTCTAAAAGTAATTAGATGAACTAGATTACAGATGTGTTTGTAAAACGAAAAACGTTTTTTCTCTAGTTTTATGATATGTGAAAATTATTGTAGAAGGAAAACTTAGTATTTAGTTATTAAAAGAATTAAGAAAGAGAAAGAGAATTGTGAAGTTTCAACCTAGGGCAAGTAAGAAAATCGTAATACGAAATTTTTGATTTTTGGAGATAAGAAAGTACACTCTAGGCGGTACACTCTTTGTAACGCAGATAGAAAGAAGAAAAAAAAATAAATAAAACTAAGAAAACAAGACAATTTTTATTTTCTGAAAAAATAAAATGTACCCATAACACGATATTTAATGTGTATACGAATAAATACAAAAATTAAAAACTTTTGAATAATCAGAAAAACACTTTTCAAGTCGATAATTCAGCGAATATCAAATTTGTAATATAAACATATATTTCCACTATATAATAATCTGTCCTAGTCACGAAATGAAAACGATATGTTGAATAATAGTAGCAGAGTTTATCTTACTTTATGTTTAGTTCATAAAAAAAAAAAGAACCAAAAAGTCAACATCATTTATACCGTTGGCTTCCCATTCTTCTTTGTTGCCTCATGATAAAATATTCTCAAAAAATTGTATCGAGCTTCCAAATTAAGCTGCCAGAAATGTTAATGTTATTAAATTATGTAACATCCTTATGTCCTATTTCTTAAAAACATAAATATACTGTCTTCTTTTGTACATTCTATTCAAGTGGAAATACTTGTTATATTTTTCTTTTACTAAACAAAATTTGATATTAAAGAGGTATGAAGAAAGTTTTGTTTTTATGAATACAAACGAAACCGGTTAAAAAATATCGAAAGTATATTGTGTTCAAGTGAGTTACGCATATTCATTGTTTAAACTTTAAATTTTAATACAATTAAAGCATACAGGTTTCATTTTTTTTTTCTTCTTCTTCTGCACATGATTTACACAAAAGTGTGATATATATATATATATATATACTGTATTCAATCTGATCTATTAACAAGCTTCACTCGCATTTTTAACAATGAAGAACAATTACAATTATCTAATTTTTGTTTAGCTTAGTTTTCATCGGTTGGTGATGAAATGAATAGCATTCAGTTTATTACTTTTCTAGCGAGCAATCAAGCAAGTAATACTATACCACTTGACAAATAAAAGTTTCAGTTTACAATCCATAATGTCTACATGACGACGACGATAGGATATGATACGTATTAATAATACAATGTAAAGCTTTCTGTTACAATAGGGATAAACGAAATATATAATCATAGTACTAGAAAAATAAAATGTTTTAAAACTCACAAGAATTGATGAAAATGTTGTTAAGTAATTGGAGAAAAAAAATTGTCCTATTGATAAATAATAGAAAAATCTTATCCTATTCTTTGATTCATCATTATAATTTTTAACTTTAATATCAAAAAAAATTTTGAACCTTAAAAATCTTTTTATTCTAAATTTAATACAACTTATGAATAGATAAAAATATTTCGATCATCTCTATTAATTTTGATATATAGAAAAATACATAATTCTCAAATAGTAAAATAAATGAAAGTATTAAAGTAACTATGCCAGAATCCCAGGTTTATCAAACTCGAAGTTTCAGTCGAGGAGATATCTCCTTGAACTTAAGAGGTCGGGCGTTATTGGAGAAATGCTTTATTCGGGATGGTATTCGTGCATAGAATCTTCTACCTAGCGATATACGTTCAATACATAAATTGACTGATTTTAAACTCAGTTTAGTCTTGCAATATATTTCGTCCTTTCGTTTACCGTTAATGCGCGTGATCAACGGTTGGAGATACATCATACGCGATGCAGAGTTGATAACTCCCAACTAAATGACTATCTCTTTACTAGAGGTGGATTAGAAAAGTCACCGGCGTGTGCATGTGGCTTTAATAGAGAGACTACTAAACATTTTTTCATGGACTGTGCTATTTAGGATAAGTCTCATAATTTTATGTTTGAGCAGCTGCGTATTGTTCTTAATGATAATCACATTACGTTGGAGCACATACTTTTGAAACATGAATCTATCCGAGCACTGGCTAAGCAGGACCTGATAGGAGTGTATACAACCATCCTTCAATTTATTGATACTACTGGAAGATTTAATCAGTCATGATGTACTAAACCTTTATGAGCAGAACGTCATATGGATACAGCGGATCTCAAAATTCGATTCCCAATTCTCTATCTCTCTTCACCAACACTAGTATAATCTCTTTTCTCTATATACTCATTTTGTTCCAGTATGTTCATCTAGAATCCGGCATACAATGGGATATCCCGAATTGCCGAATAAGTGTTTTCCTCTGGTAATTGTACTTTTATTTTTTTTAATTTTTATTTTACCATTATTTCGTGAATAAAAGGAAAACTGTTTAAATTAAATGAAAGTATACACATTATTTATTCGAACTAAACCTCTATGAAATTCAGAAATGTGAAACTTTAAAACCATAGAAGACAGTTAGGAAAATGAAAATGTTATCTTTACTTACCCGAGTACAAAAATGTGTCTACCAATTGATAAATCAAACGTGATTTATTCTTCAAATCTTGTTAGCAACAGCTTTGATGGTCACAACTTGAACCACTTCTTATGCGTTCTTCTTTAAATCTAAGACAACACACACATACACATACAACAGTTAGTGCGTTCAAAAAAAACGAAAGAACGAACATTCAAATTTTCACTGTACTATTTTCTTCTTTTTTTTTTCTTTTCTTGTTCTATACATGGTACCAAACAGATACAACTACCTATATTATACATACCTTAAGGGAAAAAAGAAAAAGAAATTTCTCCAATAAACAATTCTTTCTCAATTTTTGTGCCCTTCACATTTTAAATTAATCATTTTTAATCGCTTCGTTAAATTCACATTTCATATTTGGTTTCTTAGTTC